TCCCTCACTTTAGGAGTCATTTGCATGATTCCCTTACCCATCATCTTTCTACCCTTCGCCGGCCCTCACGCACTAGTTAGGCAGCCCCGCATGCTTCATCTAGGTGCACCCAGTATACCAGGCTCCCTTGTTCCCTTGCATGGTCGACCCTCCATAGCGGTCACCCCTTAGCCGAGCAATACCCGCCCTGATGGTCTATCTGTTAGGGTCATTGGTTCTGTTCGCTCCCAGTTCCCTACCCTCATTGAGCCTGATGACATGTGTTTTCCCCTGTCACTATGTGTGGATGCCCTTAGGAGTTTTCAACCCCTAGGCTGCATTCGCCACCCTCAGAGACCCTGCCACCCTTTGGTGTGCGACACACTTCTCATGTGACATATGGTTGTCTTGTTGATTGCTTTGTTGCTCTCAGACTGAGGCTACTGCCTCCGACATTTCTAGGATTTAGTTGTTATGCTCTTGCTGTTCTTAGGACTTATACACCAGTCAGTTGTTACCAGACTGAGGCTAGTGCCTCCAACATTCTAGGATCTAGTTGTCACTACTTTTCGCTTTCCTAGGACATGTATGTTAGTTAGTTGCTCCTACTTTCACTTAGGCTGTTAGCTGTGACATTGCTGTTTTGTGACATTTTATATCCTAGGTTGCATCGCATGGACTCAGCATGGAGCTTGCTCCGCATCCTAGACTACTCAGGTTTTCTTTTCTTTGGTAGAGTTCCGCTTCTCGGAGGAAGCATGTTTGTATCTAGGCGATCCATCACAGGCCGAGGATCGTGTAGCGGACCTCAGGTTGGCCTGTGAGACCAGCCCCTTGGCCTGTTCTCACAGGCCTGTGTTACATTCGGGGTAGGCCAGTCCAGGCCGGTACCTCTGTCGGTACCAGCCAGTCCAATCCAGTCCCGTCAGTCCGCTGGGGTAAACCCCAGCCATTGTCTGTTTTCAGATTCATTCCTCACTTGCACATTTTGGAGTACGTGCGTTGGAGTCTTGCGTGGGGAGCTGCGTTGTGCCATCTTGCTCCCCCTTCTTCCTCCATCTCCATCTCTGTCACTAGCAGAGCACCACACCTGGTGGGTCCGCTACAAACTCTCTGTCCCCAAGGTCGAGGAAATGAAGCGGCAACTCAATGAACTCCTTGAAAAAGGATTCATTAAGCCTAGCTCATCACCCTTCAGTACCAGTTGTCTCTTCGTCAAGAAAAACGACAACCCTGAACTCCGCATGTGCACAGACTACCGCGCCTTGAACCGGATCACGATCGCGAACAAGTATCCACTACCCCGCATCCTTGAACTTCTTGATCGCCTTCGTGGAACCAAACATTTCACCAAGATTGACCTCCGCAGTGGTTTCCACCAAATCCACATTCGCAAAGAAGATACTCATAAGACTACCGCTCTCACTTTAGGCACTACGAGTTCCTTGTGATGCCTTTTGGCCTCACAAATGCCCCAGCGACCTTCTGGTCTACTATGAATCACATCTTTCACGATCTTCTCGAAGTCAGTGTCGTGGTCAATCTTCATGATATCCTGGCTTTCAGTCCCAACTTCGAGACTCACCTTCAGCACATCTTCCAGGTCCTCTCGATCCTCAGAGACCAAAAGTTATACCCCAAGCTCAACAAATGCACTTTTGCTGCCTCAAGCATAGAATACCTTGGCCACATTATCTCCGCTGATGGTATCCGCATGGACCCCTCGAAGGTCACCGCCCTTATCGAGTTTCCCCCACCTACAACCTTGTAGCAGCTTCGTTCCTTCCTCGGTCTTGCCAACTACTACCGCCCATTCATCTGCGACTTCTCTGAAATCTCCTACCCCCTCCACGAGCTCACTCGCAAGAACGAGCCTTTTGCATCGAGCGATCGCCGTCAAGGCGCCTTCGACCTCTCTAAACAAGTTACCACTGCCCCTGTCCTCAAGATTGTTGACCCCTCTCGACACTTTTATGTTGCCACCGATGCCTCAAACTTTGCTCTTGGAGCCGCCATGTCCCACCACTTCCCTCATGACATCCCAAACCCCCCCTCCATCAAGGATTCCCCCACCCACTTTGAGGCTCCACCCGACGAGTATCCTATCCCATTTGCGAGCAAGAAGCTCATCCCGGCCAAAGTGAACTATCCCTCCAATGAGAAGGAACTTCTCACCGTCATCCATGCCCTCAAGGTTCGGCGCCCATACCTCGACGGTCAGCACTTCAGTATCCACACCGACAACACCATCGCCTCCTCCTCCTTGTGCCCAAGTGTCATAAAGACCTCCAAACCAGATTGCTTTTGCTACTAATAATAATGCACCCGTACCTAGTAGAATCAAGCATACTCGGCACGAAAGACATCACACCCCGCCAAGCTCGATGGACTTTCTCGCTCAATTTACATTTACCATTTGGCACACGCCCCACAAAAGCAACCGTGTCATTGATGCCCTCTCTCAACGACCTGATCACAAGCCCCCAAAGAAAGTCCATGCCGCCATGACCCATGTTCAGCTGATACCTTCACTCCACCACCGCTACACTCACGGGTACTCTTCCTGCCCAAATTTCTCTACCATCTACAACAAGCTCCGCGACCTCGACGTCGTCCCCAACTACTCCCTCCACGACAACCTCTTCTACATTAACACAAAAGTCACTCGCCAACTCTGTATCCCTGACGCACATGGTCTCCGTACGGTCTCCGTACCCAACTCTTGGTAGAACACCACGACACCAAGACCGAAGGACAACTTGGTTTCCAAAAGACATTAGACACTCTCTCACTACTACTAGCACTCACTCCTCACCGACGTCGAAGCATACATCCGCTCTTGCCCTACTTGTCAAGCAATCAACCGCTCAAACCAGGCCAGCCCTAGTAAGCTCCAGTCAGTGCCTAACCCCACCTATCGGTGGCAGTCCATCTCCATGGATTTCGTGTGCGATCTCCCCAAGACCAACTGCAGCTATGACTGCATCTACGTCATTCTCTCTCGTTTGACTAAGCGGGCCCATTTCATCCCTTGCACCGTCTTCTCACAATGCCAAAGATGTCACTACACTCTTCTTCGATCATGTCGCACGCCATCACGGTCTCCCCGAAAACATCATCAGTGACCGTGACTCGCGTCCTTTCCCAATTCTTGAAGAACTTGATCAAAGCCTACAACACCATTCTCAAGTACAACATTGCATTCCATCCCCAGACAAATAGCCAGACCCAAAAGATGAACGATACTATCCAAAGGATTCTGCGCTTCCACACCAGCACGACTGGGATCAGTTGCTCCACCACCTCCGAGATTGCCTACAACAATGTTGTTTACCCTTCCACTGGAATGTCCCCATATTACCTTGACCTTGGATAACATCCCTGCTTGCCCTCAAACTTCTTGCTCTCCTCGCAGCTCAACCCATCCACTACTTGTCCTTCTCTCAACGAATGGGTTGCAACAATGAACCGCCTCCGCAGAGAAGCCACCGACGCCCTTGAATGAACCCAACAACAACAACTTCAACAAGCCAACAAGATCAACAAACACTAACGAGATATCACATTCAAAGTAGGGGACAAAGTCTGGCTCTCCGCCAAACGCTTTGAACCCGAACATCGCTTGTCCAAGAAACTCTCAAGCAAGTGGCTCGGTCCATTCCCCGTCATTGAACAAACATCCCCTTTAAATTACTAACTTCAACTACCCCCTAACATGAGCCGTGTTCACCCTGTCTTCCATTTCGAGTACTTGAAAGAATACCATGAATCATCTCCACAATTTGCTGACCACCCATATCCTAGACCCCCACCAATCATGCTACCTACCGAGCTAGAATTCGTGATAAAATCTATCATAGGACGAAGAACAACTCAAGTATCTGATCACCCGGAACCAATCACTGCATACAAAGTCAAATGGACCGGATAATCAGATGAAGAATCTACATGGGAACCTCTCGACAATCTCAAGAACGCCATGAAACTTGTTTGTGCCTACGATCGTGCTCACCCTGTCTCCTAGTTATATACTACGTATAACACCCATATACCTTGCATAAACCCTGCCTCACTGCTCTACACACACCCCCTACACCCAGCAAAACCCCTGCCCCTCGACCTCTCTCTGTCTGATCCACTCTTGCCTTTGTCTCGTCCCCCAATCTGTCCTCTGCCACATCCTCTGTCTCGCTAGTCCAAGCCTTACCTGTGGCTCCTGCGCATCGCCGGAGATAAACGATCTAATGGCAAGTGCACGAGGAC